TGATAGATGAAGGCCTTGACTTTCTATTGGTTATAGGTAACATATAATATAACATAAGAGAACTATTAACAAATCCTGAAAGAGTGGATGTGACAAGTGAGTGTGGCAGGAGGGGTTTGATTTTCTATTTGATAGCTCTGTAACCACACAAAACTGAAGACTATAATAAATATGGTTTGTCGGAGCAATGAAGATTTTATAGTTTATCGTACTTTTCCAAAGGGTGGTGGATAAAATAGAGAAGACAAAATGCCTAGAGAAAATGTGTCACATGTGTCATACTATGGGAAATTCAGGATTTTTTTTAATATTGCCTAGTAGAATTAAGAACTTAAAACTTGTATACTATTAAAATTTAGATTATTAGCTAATATTTTATGCTATTCTAATTGGTATAACAAACAAAAAGTAGTTTAATAAAATTTTGAATTTAAGGCACTAAAACCTTGTGTCATGCACAGTAAAGGATACCCATGGTGATAAGGTTAAGACAGGTAATGAAAATAATAATTTGGTACAAACAGAGCTAAAGCAAGCAGACAATGTTTTCTTTTTTGCCTACAACACAAGGTCCACAACACAATAACCTTTAAACAAAACTTGATATTAAAGTTGTAGGACGAGTTACTAGTAATTTTACATTTATGAAGATTAATTTAGAGAAGTTACAGTATTAAATTTAATTAATTCAATATGCATATATTAGTTAATTATAGTATAAGATACATTTAATATATAACATTAAATTTCTTAAATAGCAATGACTACATTCTGTTATCTGACTTATCTTCAAATTCTATGTACATGAAGCTGTACATGTGAAAATTCTGCTATGGTGCTTAGAAATTCACTAAGCAGGCCCAACTTCATCAAGTATTTTTGGATTAATGACCAAAAACACCACTAACAGTGAAGAAACCTAAATGATTTAATACAGCAGAGTGATCATAAAGGCTTGTTATTTGCCTATTAATCATAATTAAGACTTGATTATTACAAATTATCGTATATTTTTAGCAGCTCTTCTGGTAGAGATTATTAAAATATAGTTTGAAAATGTGAATCTTTTACATACATATGTATCTGAAGCCATAAAAATATTCGAAATACACTTATAATATATCAGCTACTAACCTACATCTACAGCACTTTTATTTTGCTTTGGCATTACATACTGAAAGGTGAGTTCTTGCTTGCGTTCTGCTCGACTCATTCTTAAAGCATCTTCTGCCTCTTCCACAGCTAATTCCCAGGCTTTCTTCCTAGCAGACTGCAATGACAGAGACCCACTTATCAACTCTTATCTAGGATTATGATTATCAGAACTAATCACATTAAAAATTACTTCTATATTTTAATAGTTCCCATTGAACTCTTTCCTTAACCCACTATCAGTTATTAATAATCATCTTTACAAACACCATAAATGATCCTTTCATGAGAACCAATTTGTCCTTAATAAAGTGTGAGATTCATTATCTTTCAAATAGATTATCCATATTCAAGTTGAACAAATACCTTCATAGTTTATTTTCTCTAATTTTGGTTGGAATTTTACTCAATTTCACACATTTGTTGTTAGCACTAATAATTTCACTAACTTTATTTGTGTAGTTATTTTGTTCAATAAAAACACACTATTCCCCTAATTCAGCCTTACAATTACCATGTTTTCATTACAGTTTAATTTTTTATAGCTAAAAATCCCTGCTTACTTATATTAGTGAATTTTCTTTCATTATTATATTCATCAAAAGATGTTAGGTCTATAGCACTAATCTGTGTACTTTCAAATGATTCATTGATTTCTCTTCATATAATTAGTCTAAACAATTGCTTCAACAATTACCTTCAGCCTAATAAATAATTATCATACTTAAGGTATTTTGGTGGGATAATAAAGTTTAGACTATGGATGAGAACCCTTTTTTTCTTATCATTGATTAAATTATTATAATGGCTAATTTGTTTTTCTAACAATGATAAATTTTGTTGAAGTTGTCTTTTAGTTAATTTATCAATTTTTATTTTGTTTTATTTATAAATTCAATAATTTTTACATAAATTGTAGAAACTCTCTTGAGTCATAGAATTTTGGAATAGATACTTTAGTAAGTGGAAAGCTAGTGAGTGGAAGGATTGGGAACTACAAAACAAAGAAGTGCAGGTAAAATAAGAATGGACCACATGAAGAGGACAGAGAATGTGATCAGGATCTGAACAGAAATAGAGATGAGAATGGAAGGAAAAGATATAGGAGTGAACTCACTATCACCCTACACACTGCAGACATTTCATGAAGAAAAGCATGATCTGAATATAGAAAGATATATGAAGTGATGGAACAGAATGTGAGAAGAATCAATGGCATACACATCAGAACACCAACAACCCCAGGTGAAGAGGAGGAGGAAAGAAGTGTTAAGGGACAGATGGTATAAGGAACACGAAATCATAGGATCAAATGATGGTAGGGTAAAGGCATGGAAAACAACATTAAGGAACCATTCAGGTAGGTGAGAAGAACAGGGAGGGCTGGGGATGAAGAAATCCAATGTAATGGGAAGATTATAAGGTAGTCATGAGATATGCCCAGTAATCAATAATAGTTGAGATAAACCAGTCTTGGCCAAATAAGCTATGTGCAGAACATAAACATATGGGGAATAGAAGGATGAAAAGGTGGGAAGATTTGATGCTGAGACCAGCAGCAATTATGGTGATAAACTTCTAAGGAAGACAGACAAACAGAATGGGAAAGAAAGAAGGCTACATGTGAAGACAGTACCAACTGTCCTGCAAGGACCAGACAAGCCCCACGTGTGAAGTCAGAGTGATGACATAGCTAGATGGAAGAGAGAAGCACAAGGGGGAAGAAGAGAGCAGAAGAGGAAAAGAAGGAAGGAAGTTAGAAGGCTCAACAGAAGAAACCACAATTTGTGTCAGCCAATAGGATGCTACCAGAAGGACCCAACAAGGAATGTCCAAAATGAGAAAAATAACTCGAGGGAGGAGACAAATAGGGAGTAAGCACAAAGGAAAAGACCTGACTATTCTTGACTGAATTTATCTACTGCTAATGCTAATGTATAAGGAACAGAAGGCCCAAAAAAGGGAAGCTGGCATTGTTGTAAGTGGCAAAAGCATTGATGCGAGGAGTGCCCAAACAAGAGCAAAGCCATTGAAAAATACGAGGATTGAGAGGTCACTCCAGAAAAAAAGAAATCCTGAGAGAGGTTCCACTGATCATATAGTCTACAGTAAAAGACAAATGTGAGCACAACCTAAGGGAATAAGGAGGTTACAAAGAAGCCCAAGTCCCCAATAGATGTAGAAACTCTAATGCAGGAAGAGGAGAGAACACAGCTGTGGAAATCAAATCCTCCATGGCCCACAAATGCAGCAACTAAGTGCAGAGATGGGAAGTAAAGAACACACCCAAATGACCCAGATACTGGTTGGATGTGTGAGATGAGACTTCTCCAGCTTGACCAGTGAACCTAGACAAGTCACCTCCTGAAGAAGGTGAAGAGTATGTTCATAACAGTTCAATTGGGATGGAACTAAAAGAAGCTGGTTGTTCATATAATGGTGAAATATCAATCCCAAGCTGTGAATGTGATGATCACAGGCACACAACAAAAGTGAATGTATGGGGGTGATACTAAGTCAAAAATAATAGCTCAAAACTCATAAACTTGACCAGTACATCATTACAGACCAAAGTGTGAATGTTGTGGAGATGGAAATGTGAAAATAAGTGTCAAAGATGTTGACCTTGGTCATCCTAGGTCCTGGAGTAAAAGACCATCAGAGGGTAAGAAAACTCCTCACAGTAAACTAAGAAATGTTGAGAAACTGACAGATATGGGACAAAATGCCAATCCTTTGGTGTACTGGAGAACAACAAACAGACAGGAAATAAAATCCCAGGGAAGAGTGATAAACCCTTTTGATAGTATCCTTGGCCAAAAAGTCAGCCACAAAAGAAATCTATAGGTTCACAAGTCTGGCTGACATATAACATATGTCAGCCAAGTGGGTCCTCTCTGTTCCTGAGTCCAGAAAATAGGGATGAAAAAAAAAAGAGTGGAAAGGAGTCAAAAGGTCAGAAAACAGCAAATGGAAGAAAAGGATCTTGGGAAAGACAGGACACAAGGGTAATCAAAGGAAAACGTTGGCACACAGCCTCAGTCCATAACTACAAAGATTCAATTACCCCACCAAAATCTCACTGGCAGAGAGAAGAAGCCAAAGGTCCCTCAAACAAGAGAGAAGTAAAAGTACTTCAACAAGAAGAGTATTCCTCCCTAACAAATCCCAGCAATAGAGTAACCACGAGAGAAGGAAGAAGAATATACCAATGTAGAAAAAGGAATGGAATGAGTGTCCACTAAAAAACCCTCAGGAGAACAGTGCATGGCTTCCAAAAGATGGATGGAGGATAGATAACACAAAGGGGTAGTAAAAGAAAAGCAAAGATGACAAAATTGAGTTTGAGAAAGATTAACAGAGGACAATGGATCAAAGCCCCTAGTCTGAAGAAGAGGCTCCAGAGTTTGAGGGCTTCAGCTTGATTGTAAGCCAAAGCATATATGCAACCAAGTAAAAGGTGATGACCATATCAGCACCAAAGTGAAATTAAGACAAAAACATTTTCAGCATGGACTTGGATATTAGGGGAAGGAAGAAAAACATAATACTCTGGAGAATGAGCCAAATGAAAAAGAGGAAGCAAAGAATAATAAGAAATAAGAGAGAGCAAAACAAAATTTAACACACCAGAGAAGTCATGAAAGGATGCAGAATATATAGATAGATATACATCTGTACTGGAAGAGTTCTTTGGAAATTTAGGAGGCAGAAAAAAACTGCCTAAAATCTATATCCTCACAGATGAGGATTATAGGAGGAAAGAAGTCTATGTCAAGGCTTGAAAAAGGCCCAGGCAGCATGCAAGGCTCCACCACCCTGACAGACAAAGAAGCACCCAATGCCACTGTAATAGTCTGTCTAGTGTGAATAAAGTCCATATGTTCAACAACAGGCGGCATGGAAATGATCACCTCTGCATAATTCATGTTGGGGAAAATAAAATCCACAAAGTCTACAGAGGAAGAATTGTTTAAAAATAAAACAAAAGGGAATCCTCAATAGTTGCAGCACTTTAAATTCTTTTAAGCAGGATTAGAGTAGATTAATCTATGAGACCTTTTTTTTCTTCTTTTTATTAGCTATATTTTTGTGCTCTAGCAATACCAAGCTTGGGGCATGTGTATACCTGATTCAATTTTATTACTCATCAGAATCTCTACCATCCTACGCTCAAATTGAAACTATTTTAGACAGGATTAGAGTAGATTAATCTATGAGACCTTGGGCATGGCCAAATACATCAATTAAATGGGTTTGACCTCCTGAGTCAAAAACTGTAATTAGATCTCAAATCAGTCAAGAGATGACTGAGCTATGAGCTAAAAGTTTGTACTTGAAAAACTTAGAGCCATTCTACAGGCCGCTATGCCATGGCTAACAAAATATATCTCTGCAACAGTTTGTTTTGTAGATAGTTCAACCAAACATTGATGTTTAAAAAACTCACAAGAGTGAAAACAGATACATCTTAACACAAGTGCCAAATCAAGAATTGATGATTAAACAATCAGTATAGAGGGAGCCAGCTGTGCTAGAAGGCAGTATGACACTCCTATTGATGAAGGGTTGACACATGCTCATTTGCATGAATCAAGAAAGTTAGATGTGAGAGGAGATTATGTAAGCATTTTTTCATTTTTCCTAAATACCAACTGAATATGACCATTACATCTATTAACAATTACGGTAGCAATTGACTTGTTTTCTGGAAATCTTGGACTTATAACAAATTTTAATATAAAAAGGCACATTATCCATATTTCTGTGTTTTTATCTTGGACACTAATTAACCTTGATCTTTTTATTACTGGTGTTAAGGATAAACAAAAAATTACATTTTAAATATTATAAAAATAAAGTGGATCTAGATTTTTGAAACAATATGAATGGGAAATTATATTTTATCTAAATACCTTAATTTTAAAGTATCTATTCCAAAATTCTATGACTCAAGGAAGTTTCTACAATTTATGTAAAAATTATTGAATTTATAAATAAAACAAAATAAAAATTGATAAATTAACTAAAAGACAACTTCAACAAAATTTATCATTGTTAGAAAAACAAATTAGCCATTATAATAATTTAATCAATGATAAGAAAAAAAGGGTTCTC